CAAGTAGCGGAATGCTACAGAGGTAAACAAACAATATCATTTGGAAGAGGATTAATAAGTGTTGACATTCATACAAATGAGTAATCCTGTAAACGTAAACAGAATATTTTATATAGATTTTTTTTAATGAAAACTTAAAATCCTGCATTATTTTCCGGACAACCCGATATATGATCCTTTTGTCATGTTGTAAAATGTAACCAAATCTATCTTTGATTGACTGCTTGTTTTATTCTTCAATTTATCATTATCATGTGAAATAAATAATTAGATATTCTTCGGAGATCGTGAGATGCAGTCTGGTGTGATGTAGGTTTTAGAAAAACATTTTCTTTATCGTGCCAACGTTTCGATCTTTATTCAGATCATCTTCAGGGCCTGGGATTTATAAACATTGTTTAAATTTTACAATTACACATAGGATGTGAAAAAATGAATTTGTACAATGCTGTTTTTTTTATCTAAAATTTTTTAGCATTGTATAAATTCATTTTTTTTACATCCTACACGTATTTGTAAAATTTAAACAATGTTTACAAATCCCAGGCCCTGAAGATGATCTCAATAAAGCTCAAAACGTCGCACGATAAAAAAAATGTTTTTTTAAAACCTAGACACACCCGACCGCATCTCATGATTTCCGAATAATCATCGACTAATGGTCACTAAACATCACACAAAATAATGAGATAATTAACTTTTAGCTTTAGAAGAAACTAACATGATTGTTTAATTGACCAATTAGTAGTCTTTGTTTAAACATAATTATTAGAGCAATTTATCTTTTATTTTTCCTCAGAGACAATTTTTGTTCTTTGTTGGACATATTTTTAATAGAAAATGAACAAAACAAAAATTTTTAGAGTGGCACTTTCAGTAAAACCGTTGGTCACGTGAGGAGGGAGTTTTTCAAAGAAACAGATTTTTTATTTATTTATTGTTTTTTATTTATTTATTATTTTAAATGAAGTTAAAGACAAACTATTGCAAATCAAATTCTAGTGTTAGATAAATAAAGTTCTAAAATGAAAACTAGGGTACTGTCGATTAAGAAAAATTCTATAACAGTTCAAAAAAAAATTGTGAGAGGAAATCTCATATAGTGACCACACCCGGGGTAATAATGATAAAAAAAATTGCAAATAAAATTTAAAAGACAAATTACATTGCATTTCTTAGTAAAATAAAATGTATAAAGAAATCAAACATATCCAATAAAATTATAAATAAAGAGAGATGGATCTCTCTAGGTATCGGGTGTTTAGGTTCAGTAATTCAGATGTAAAGTAAAACAAGACAGAAAGAATCAAATTCATTATCAGAATGTTTCGGTAGATAAGTGCCTTTATATGTAATTTATTGTACTATGATAGCTGCAGGTTGTTAATAAAGTTTCAAAAACTTCTTAGGACTAAAAGTGTTGCATTAAAAGTAAAAAATTATTTATTATTTATTTATCTTTTTAAGCGGAGAAAAAATAATTTACTTTTAATTATTACCATTACTTAATGTAGTAAGCTTTGGTAAATCTACCTTTTACTTTAAAATTTAATAATTTATTATGTTTTGTATGTCATTGTTACCTGAACTTGTCTCATGACAGTTGTGATATTGAGTATTTAAATGTTTTCAAGTGTGATGAGTATTATAATTTTTTTTTAACTTTTGTTTTAAGGTTAATGGTGTTAAAAAATAATTATCACTAATTGTAAAAGTTTTGAGAAATAAAAGCAATACTGTTTGTACTGGGGGATTTATAAGACTAGTTTCAAATGGGATCAAAACTATTACTTGCCAACTAATGTCAACACAGTTTTTCCCATTCTTAATTACAAATTGAGAAAATTGATTTATTATAATCAGTAATAATTTATTTGTAAACTTAAATTTATTTATTTTGCAATTTAATTATGATAATAGATAAGAGAATTTCTAATTCACTCAACAACACAGTCTTTTTTTTTATTCAACTCCCATTTTCTCAAAAAAACAAAAACAATATACACGCAACATTGTGAAAAACTGAAGACCCAACTATTAATTTTTTTTAAATAATAACACTTAAACAGTTAAAATGGCAAAAAATTCTCCTTGTAAGTAATTTCTGAAAGCACAACACTTTTTTTTTCGTACAATGGCTGTTGTATTGTGTCATGTCACATAGGATTTTCGTGAAAATTTATATTATTATCAAATTGAATGATTGGCCTAAAGATGTCAGTTGTCATGTCTGATAAATAAAAAATATGAAAGTCGCAGTGGTGCACAGTATAGCCAGAACGAACCACTTTGTAATATTTGTCCTTTCTCTGGCCAACAATTTTTTTCCAGCGCCACTGCATGCATAGATGTTTCGAAATATTTAGTAGAAATATTTGTGATGTTATCATTGTTAGAACAACGCTATGTATAGAATGTTATAAGAGCATAATTATAAAAATTACGGGTTGTTTAATAATTAAACAGAAAAAAAAAATTGTGTATGTAAATAAAGATGTTTTCATGTAAATACGCACTCCCAAAGAATATACATAATGTCATGAAGAAATATCAGTGTTGTACATTAAATTGTTACTATTAAAAATGTCGAACAATAAAAATAAAAGCATAATCTGTAGTTTTATTGGGTTGTCCGGAAAATAATGCAGGATTTTGGTATTAAACAAAAAAAAAGAAACTAGTTACTTTAAAGCAATGTTCTTTAATCAAAATAATTTCCCATACTCTCAATACATTTCTCCCAACGTGTTGGTAACTTATTAATTCCGTCTGAGTAGAATTCAGAATTTTTAGAATTGATAAAGTCAATAAATGCATTTTCCAGTTCCGTTTGATTTTTGAATATTATGTGTTGTAAGTAGTGGTCCAGGTGTCTAAAAAAATGGTAGTCAGTAGGCGAGAGGTCCGGAGAGTAGGGTGGGTGAGGCAAAGTTTCATAGCCAAGCTCCAATAATTTTTGTGACGTTACACGTGACACATGTGGTCGAGCGTTGTCATGCAACAAAATGGGCCCTTTCCGATTGACCAAAGAGGGCTTCATTACTGCCAATTTCTGATGCATGGTATTAATTTGGTTACAGTATGATTCAGCATTGATGGTTTCGCCAGGATTTAAGAAGCTGTAGTGTATTAAACCAAATGAAGCCCACCATACCGTAACCATTACCTTTTTTTGATGAGTTGGGGGCTTTGGAAAATGTATTGGAGCTTCTCCTTTGTCGAGCCACTGTCCAGAATCCACTTTTCGTCACATGTAACAATTCTGGCCAGAAATGGGTCATTTTTGTTTCGACAAAGAAGTGATGCACAAACATCAAAGCGCTGATTTTTTTGGCGATCGTTTAATGAGTGTGGAACCCAATTTTCGAGTTTTTTCACTTTTCCAATCGCCTTGAGGTGGTCAGCGACGGTCGTTTTACTGACTTTGAGTTGCTCTGCAAGTTTTCGAACAGTTGTTTTGGGGTTTTCTTCCACCACTGATCGCAGAACATCATCATTAAGAGAGGAAGGCCTTCCACGACCTTCTTCATCTTCAAGGCTGAAATCTCCCTCCCGAAATTTTTTAAACCACCTTTGCACAGTGCACTCATTAACACAACCCTCGCCCCAGACTTGGTTAATGTTTCTAGCCGTTTGGGCTCCGCTTCGGCCGAGTTTAAACTCGTAAAAGAAAATCGTACGAAATTCTCGCTTTGACATTATAAGGATGACTGAATTATTTCCAAGTAGCGGAATGCTACAGAGGTAAACAAACAATATCATTTGGAAGAGGATTAATAAGTGTTGACATTCATACAAATGAGTAATCCTGTAAACGTAAACAGAATATTTTATATAGATTTTTTTTAATGAAAACTTAAAATCCTGCATTATTTTCCGGACAACCCAATATTAACTTTGAATGCTAAGATCAAGTATTCAAAACTGAAAAAACAACAAAATATTAATTGTTGATTGACATAAATGGAAATTATATATTAATTATTTTGTATAGAGTTTTATAGCTAATGTTTTAAAACAGAATAAAAGATTTTATGTTAAATTATAAGAGAGAAGAAACAAAAGCAAATTGTCTTAATAAAATGGTTGTTGGTAGAGATAGATGAAAATGATTGTTAGAACTGAAACAAAATTATAAAAATGAAAATTTAAAAAAATGCTCAATAAGAAATTGCTAATGAATAAAAAAAGATGTACAACAAATATCTATATTTTTTCCTTTGCCTATGTTGTCTTTTAAACTGGAACTGGAACGTCGATGGCCAGAACAGTTTAGGTGCTCATCACTGTAAGGTAAAGGTCCCAGATTCAAATCCATCGGTACTGCATTCGAACCAACATACTGGGCTTAAAAAAGAAAAGAAAAAAAAAACACTGGCACCCTGTGGGTTCATATAACCTCGTAGTTGAAATACCCTTGTATTACTTAACTCCAACCAATCCTGTAACCAAAATCCTCCACCACATTGTCACTGTTCTCTTCTGCATATATATATATATTAGTATGAGTGTTTATGAGAATAAGTAGGTTTGTGGAAGAATATAAATTACTCCACAAACCCACCCAACTAGGTTAGTTGAATTAATGTATTTATTAGTATGATAGGTTTGTGGTGGAAATAGAGAAACCCATATTTATTCCCCCCCCCATAGAAACCAAATTACGCTCTTTTTTTTTGGGGGGGGAGGACAATTGGGTTTAGAGGACCAAGGACCCACCAGCCTAGGTTAGTTATATATTTTTTTAGTGGTTGTGGTGTGGCACCGATATAAAACCACGGTACCTCACAAAATTTTAATTATACATATAGTATGAAAGTTTCTAGTTAGATGTAGTGTTTATTAGCATGAATGGTGATGAGTTCTCAGATGAATATCCAGTACCTTGAGAGCTACCAAAATTAGGTTAGAACATACATCTTTACATTATTTATAATTTATGATTTATTAGAAAGAAGGTCGTGTGGCTATTCCCACTTGAGATGCTTTATAAAAATGTATGTATGGTATCTGTTGGAAAAAGCTTGGGCAGGAGTAATGGGGTGATGTGACTTTACATTGGAAAGATTGGAGATGTTGGATATCAAATGTTTCAGCAATTACACACAGTTCTCTACAGTATGTCCAAATAGGATGTAGTAGTGTTCTGTAGATTCTAAGCTTGTACTTTATCGATAGTTTCGATTGTTGTCATAATTTTAGAGTAGACAACAGCATCCATTGAAGTCTTATCATTTAAATCACGTGGGCTAATTCCATATAAATAGTGCATCTAGGTGGAATTTAAAGTAATGAATGCAGTCAGATTTGGGGATGGGATGATTTTTGTAGTAGATTGTGAGCTTCAGAGTGTAAATGTGACATGAATATACTTACAGGAAAAAAAAAGCAATATTTATAAAGGCCACAACTGCATGGTATAGACTATTCGTTCTGACTATGAACCGATAGTCTGATGCCTAACATATTTTTAAAAAATGTAAACTTTAATATTAAAGAAAATAATAAGTCAAAGTGTACCAAACTTTAATGGATTTAGAAAAATGACAGATACAAAATTCTTAAAATGTGTAAAAGGCTACATTCTGAAGACTACTTTTTCATTAATGCTGTTTATTGTGCTCTACCCATAACTTTCATTTCCATTTCCAATTCTTGGCAAAGTCTTTCCAAGCACTGCAATAAAAATAAATCCATTGAACAATGAAGACAATCAAAAATAATAATTAATACCTCGTCTTTTTCAACTCGAAGAGCGTCTATTGTCGGCTCTTTGAAATTGGAATCAAACCTCGGATTTTCTACAATTGGTTTGTCCTTCACTGGAACCTTCGATGATTTATATATGTTAAAATTGGTTAATTTGATAAGTTTCAATAAATGTTACCTGGGAGAAATGAACATCCAACAGTTTTTTATACTTTTCTGTAGAATATGGAGGGCCATCGGAACTATCGATTGCCTGAAATGAATCTTTCCCTGGTTGAACTATAAGAGGGTAATTGTGATCAAGCTGCACTTTTCCACTGAAATCCCCAATATACATTGATAACGAATCAAATTGTTAAAAAATATTAATAATAGTGGTAAGTAATAAAATTGCACCAAAATAATTAGCCTCTCACCTCAGTTCATTTCCAAAAGCAAAATGATTTAAGACATTTTTTGTGATAGTTATAAGATTGTTGTTCTTATTACTGTAGAAGACAAGATGGGCATAATATTTGTTTGCTAAAAATCTCAAAAATGAGCAAATTATACGTTTTGGCTCAGGATCAAATTCCTTCAAAAATTATATAATATATTTTTTAAACTGAAATAATTTTAAAAACTGTATAACATTACCTGAAATGCATCATACTTCCCTCCAATTATTACAAGCTGAGTTGGACAGGGTGTTAGGTATTTTTTGTCCTGGACAAAACAAATTAAATTTACGAAACCACTAGGAACAAGTATATCTCAATTTTCTGCTTACTGGATGTTCATCGGGGACTCTGTCCAAAGCTTGTTTTTTCAAATCATCGACGTCGTTGCGCTTTTCTGCAAAGTCGTTTATTATTTTAATGCTCGATTCCGCAGAGTTAAAGAGAGTAGAAGGCGAAGACAGGTCGACCATCACAACTGCCGTCATGTTGGGCATGTCTTCCAATGCATAAAGAGTAGGACTGAAAGTCGTACCACCTCCCAGTTCCCAAATATTGCAGACATGATGATCATACTAAGCAAAAACAGGTTTAATTGCTAGGCAAGTGTAACAATTTTCACTGCAGCTATTACCTCAGTCATCTGAGTTGAGAAGAAGTACTCTAAAGCTAATGTCGGCGTTATCTCTTCATTAAGATTAAAAGTCTGAACGATCAAAGTTGTTTTGCCCTACAATTTATTTGGGTTAATTGTATTGAAAAAAATTTGTATAAATTCAACCACTTACAACTCCTCTACTCCCAACGACAAGTAGTGTCTTTTCATCTGGCCTCACAAACCCAATCTCTGATGATTTCAGATTGGCCTCAGTTGAAACTTTATCAAGTAAAGTCCCATCACTAAATACATTAAAAAAAAGTTTTAGAAAAAATATTCTATATCAAAAATTGGTTAAGGGGGAAGTTTGAAAGAGGAACCAGATTTATTAATAAAAAAAAAAAAGTTTGAATTTTTGTTCCAATAATAAAGTACATATACATTTAAAAAAATACAGAAAGAATGAAAGAGGAAGAAGCCATAATATTGTATAATTTGAAATTACAATAAGTTTTCTCTTGGCAGGTGACAACTTGATTGGCGACAGAGCTGAGGGAAAAGCACGACCCTGTACAACTTATTACGCAAATGGTATTAATCAGTACAAAAATAATCAAAGGAAGGAAACAAAGCATTATTTATTGCTCATTTTGACTATAATACCTCCTAATTACATGTTATTAAAAAGAAGAAGAAAGATTATGGATTTGATTTTAAACTAAATAAATTGAGTGTTGTGCTAAATTTGACAATTAGTGTAAAAATTTGTATTATTTTATGTATATGTATTATATTTTATTAATTTACATTATTTATAATAATTACATTGATGAATTGTTTTTAATGAACTTTCACCCTATTCTATAATATATTACCATTGATCCAAGAACTTATTCTTATCTATTTGCCAAGAAATGGCAGAAAAATCTATTTATAAACTTCAATCAGTACAATTTAAATTTCTCAGAATTCTTGCCTATAAAATAGTATTAACTATTAAAGATCATAGTCAATGTGAACAGTAATTTAATTTATTTCCCCCAGTGCCAAATAGATATTGCTTTGATTTAATTACTCTTTTCAAAACAATTAACTACTGCATTGACAGTCCTTTTCTACTTAGTCAACATTTCTGTACTGAGCTAGTTGATCAGGTATAACTGACTTAAAAATATTATTGACAGAATGATGCGAAGGTCGTGAGTTCGAATCCCGCTCATGACACTGACTTTTTTATCTCAACTAAAAACCATAATTAATTGAAAGATATTAATTTGTCAAGAGGACCACGAAACTAGTGAATTATTCATATAATATTTTAAAATATGTTATATTATTTTACAATGATAACTTAAATTTTTTGATAGCGCACATCCTAATTTTGTGGAACTCCATAATGAGTTGATGGGTAGGAAATAAATTGTCTTTTCCACAACAGACTTTTTTTTTCTTTTTCTTTTTTTTCCCCCAGGCGCATTCGGTCTAATACAAACCATCTTCAGTTTTTTAATTATTTAGTTACTGAAGATGGTCTATATTAGACCAAAACGCATCTGATGAAATAAATGCCTGTTGTGGAAAAGACAATTTATTTCCTACCCATCAACTTATTATGAAGTTCCACAAAATTAAGATGGATTTAAATTAACAATGATAAAGGAGTTTTTTTTAATGTATTTTCTTACTTTACATATTATTTAATACTTAAGTAATTTTTTCGTTTTTTGATTCTTTTTTAATTTTTGCTTTTATATAGTTATACTTTCTTTGATTTCGGATATTTCTATATTTAAACATTTTTTGTAAATTGGATTAATTCCGTAAAATATATATTATTAAAACCCACAGGGCGTCGGCCGATATGACGAATGAGTTAATAATATTTTGGAGGTTTGGGAATGGGTTTTATTATTGATAATTTCATTTAGATTGGGAAGTAGGTAGTTGGAAAATATATGTGATAATAACAACTATATTAACTAAAATTAAACAAAGGTGAAGTACGATTAAATTGTTATAACGAAAGACATCGACCTCAGGCAATTTTAGAAAAAGGACGGGTGCTAAAAGAAAGCACACTACTGTTTAAAATGGCCGTCGGAATGAAAAACTTAGCGAGAATAAACGGACCAAGAAAGACTTTTGTAATTATTTACAACATGATTTCGATGAGAATAAAAATTTAAGATCAAATATTTTATTTTGTTGATAAAAATTAAATTAAACATAGTCTAGCTGCAATTGTCATGTTATTATGTATTTTAAAAAATTGTTTTCAAACTGGACTTTTTGAAGACTGTTTTCTATTGACTTTCAAGTACAAGAAAATAAGTTTTAATTTTATAAGAAAAATTGTGTCTTACTTTGGCAGGATCAGTTCCGGAATGCGTTCTGCGATCGGTTCGTTTTTATCCATTTTCAGCCCCGGCAGTTATCCGAGAAACGAGTGCATTTGCTCTAAGATGTATTTTAATGATTATTCTAAGGGCTAACAACTTTGTGTTGTAGGGTTCCTATAGCAACACTACCGACAGCGCTACAACGCTGGAAAGCATCAGTTTTTTTACAGTGAAATGGAAAGAGGTGTGCCAACACGCGAATTTTCTTCAGCCTGCTTCCATTGCAGTGCAATCGTATTTTTCTAAAGAAAGACTTTCATCAGTTTTTTATTATAAATTGGACAGTAAAATGTGTTGACTATGTCAATTTGTTTGTTATTTATTGGTTATTATTTATTCGTTTTAGATAGACGATACTCTATGAACTAAAAATTATCAAAAATGTATTTTTATTTGTTTAAAACCATAAAACTGTTTTGAAATATGATAATTCAAAGTGAAAACACTTTTTCAAATTAATTTAAATTTTATTTGGAAGCTAATCGGACATCGATTTTCGGATGCTTGGGAAGAACTATAGATGACTTCGACGGCCGATACGGAAGAAGATTTGAAGATTTTCGAAGTCCTGTGCGGTCCGGACACAGAGGTACGTCCCAACTGGGTCATAAAAATCAATCAGGCCTATACATTTCTTGGTCAATGACGGGGCCTAGCACACAAAGGCACCTACCCTTTCGACCTATAATTTTATCACTGCGCACCCGAGAAAATATGCCCGTCAGTCATCTCTTCGTCGTGGGAGATGGTCTAATATACTGTTTTGCGCGTGTTATGAACAAAATGGAGTAAATTATGTGTTGTGTTTAGATGACAGGTGGTACAGACATGACGACAACCCTTAGGAGCGAGTTAGCAGCACTGCAATATAAAAGGGACAGCCTTCTTTTACAAGTGAGATTTAAAAAAAAAAATCAATTTTCACAGTTATTACTAGAAAAACAAACTTATTTATAAATTGAATCATTGAGCATACTTATCTTTTAAGACACAAAAATTCCTTTCTCAGCTGAACTAAATCTTTAGCAAACACTAATCCATGGGAAGAATAAAAGTAAAGCGTATTTCCAGCTTTATTTAACTGACTCCAGCAAAAAGAAAAATCAAGCATCCTGAGTTTATTATTCTTGAGCTTAAGCTATCAAGCTTAATAAATTCCATATTGGCTGACAATTTGTTTTGATATAATTTTTCACACCATTTACACTAAAACACATTTTGGGAGATTTATTTATTTTTTTAAATATTTTTATTGTTGTTTTTCAAGCACAACAACATGTCAGAACAAAATATTTTATATGTTTAAAAATTTAAACTGGACATTGTGTTTTAAATTTATGTATCTCCTGAGATACTTTGCCAAGTCCAGGAAGAAACAGTTATTTTTTATTTTTATTATTATTATATTTTTTAATGATTTAATGGACAAAGTTTATGAGTTGGAAGAGATAATTATCTCTTAATTCTAACTTTACAAAAAATTGCTAATCTGAGGACTCCAAAGATGCTCAAGAGGAAATTTTTTCCTCATCTCAAGACAAAGAAATGAAGTAAAATAGCTAGAAAAATTGAGAATTTTTGAAATAATTGCAAAAAAAGTTTATGGATGACAACTATCTGATACTTCCAAGATCCCTAATTGACTTGATTTTTAGAATTTTGTTTTATTTTTATTTTATTTTGTACCAATACATTTTTAACATGTATCTTTAGACAAAAACCACGATTTTAAACTGGTAATTAACGCATGATTTTTATGGGTGGATGGATTCTATGCATCATATCCTCAAAGACACAAGTTTAAAATTAAATAATTTAAATTAAAGGAGGCTTTTAGAAATTTTAAAATATCTTTCCTGCAAATAAACAGTTATAATCAAAATTTAAAAAAAAATCTGTAAAAATGTAACAATTTATTTTCTTTTCCGAGTTATAGGGTTAAACTTGAACTTTAATTTATTTTAGCTACAAGAAACTAAAGCCCAGCTAAGAAAACGAGATGAAAAAGCAATTCAATTGGAGAGTGAAATCGAGCAGCTCAGAGAGCAAGCAGCAAGGCAAAATGTTGTCATTGCTTCCCTTCGCAAACGGATACAGGTAAATTAAGAGAAAATTGCCAAATGGACAAAATTTAAAACTCTTGGCATTCAAGGAACTGGAGGAAAGGGAAAGAACGTTGGCAGCTAGTCAAGGAAGGAATGAGATGACAATTAATACCCTCCAGAGAGAAAATAGGTACCATGAGGAAAAGGCGTCTGAATTGGAAAGAAAGGTTCTGTAATAATTTTATTTAAATTTTTAAATGGCTTTTGTAACATCATATTTAATCTATAGATCAGTACGTTAGAAATTGAATTAAATAATGAGGAAAAGAGCAAATTGCATGTTCAGAAGAATTTAGGCGATCTTGTACATCAGCTGGAAGCCACTTTGGGGACCAATTCTGCTGGCAACTCTTCGCACGTTGTTCAAGTAAACGAACATCAATAAATAGTTAAAAAATATTAAAATATAACCCTCATTCTTATCCCAGGAGACAAGCAGACTGCGCAATAAATGTGACAGCCTTGAAAACTGTTTGACAAGGGTCGAAGAAGAGCTGAGGACGTGCAGAAACGCCCTGAGCAGGGCGACAGCAGACAGGGACACATTGCAGAATCAAGCAGCAACCCACCTAGCTGAAATTGATCGGCTGAAGCAGGTGATTTGACTAATTCGTAAAATTTAAGATTGTACCTAATAACTTGACATCCTCTTCCCAAAGGAAAGAGAAAAGCTTCAGATTCAACAGCATATGTATGAAAGGGACCTGGCAGAGTTAAGAGAAAAGCTAAACAATGCTCAAAGAACAATTAGCGTTACAACCGGTGATATACAAGTACAGGATGCAACAATAAGAGGATTGAGAGGTAAAATTCATGAAAAAGCTTCAATTTGAAATGTAATCTATACATATAAATAACAAATCAATCTGAAAAGTTTGCCATAAATTTTTCATTGTTATCATCGTTCAGAAGTTTGATGATGATGGATACAAGGAAGTGGGGTTTTGGTTCCTAAGCACTTCAGCCTTCTGGCTAATTGACTTTCCTAGTTCCTTAGATCAGCCAATTTGGATCTGGATTTTGGATTTATAGAGGCTCAAAACCGCACATGTATGTAAATACATACAAACACGTGCCGAGTTGAGCATATTTGCTTCTCGTATTTCACTAGCAATTCCAGTTTTTTCTATGTACATAAACTGCCGGCAAACTTGAGAATCACTTCAGCCTGTCCAGCCACCAAGGTGGGGCTCTGGGGGGTGTTGTCAACAGCTAGGTTAATTTAAAACCCAACGCATGCAGTTCCAAATCCAATCAAACTCATGTTCATTCTTAAATACATTCAATCCTATTACATATCATTCATTCAATTAGGGTAGTGGAGTACTCGATATTTCTCCATCACCCTTTACACATATTATACAACTAACCTAATTGAGACCTTTTTAAAAAAAAGATAGTTCCTACTCACAGTAAGAATTATAATATAATCCTAATCCCAAAATTCGTTCTTGCTAAATTAAATATTAAGAACTGTTCAACTCTCTTAAAAAAACAAAAAAACACTGTGAGTAGGAACTACCTTTTTAATAAAAGGATTGAACACCACACTCACTCCATCATTCACAATTTCTAACCTAATTAAGGGTACATGCGATACCCGATATTCCACGATTGACTCTCTCACATCATATATTCACGCAATAAATACATTCACTCATAACACAAGCTAGGTACTCACTACTATTATTACTATATACAATAGTTCAACCCCGATTCTTACAAGAATTGGAACAGGGGACCCAAATACTTGCTGCCATGCTCAAGTACAATTCTCAAATTGTGTGGCATTCCTGCGTACTCTCTGGAGCCAAGGAATTGCACCCTTCAATTAGGTGGGGCAAATCAAGCTTCTCTGTCAATCCAGCCCACTGTCGCTGCTACCTGTTGTTTGTTTATTCTTAGTGTCAGATGGCCTGATCACGTTAGTTAAGTCCAGAGGTTGGGATGTACTGGCCTCGTTGATGGCATTATTTCAGCTTGAAGATCAAGGTGTACTACCTTAATGGATTTGATGCCCATGTTTTGGGCTTAGGTAGAAATCACCTGATGCGGTTCCTTCATTTGTTTTGGAGTCATTCGTATATCATTTTATTGTATAAGATTTCCTTCTGAATTCTTCCTCTCCTTTATACTTTGTTGAGACTTTATAGGTTGTTGTAAGGAATGTTTCCAGGATCATATTAGTCATTCCCCATTTCTAATAAAGAGTGTACTGGGGCGTCGGTGGCCCCAACAGTTTAGGCATTGACACGGTGCTCATCGCTGTAAGGTAAAGGTCTCAGGTTCAAATCCAGCGGCCCTGCATTCGAACTCGACATACTTAAAAATGGGCTTTTTTTCAAAAACACCAGCACCCCGGTGCTGTATAACCTTTGCTGTTGCGAACCCTCGGAAAAAAAAGTGGTGTTTAACGACTGTTACTTGGATACTTGGATGATTTGGAGATAGGTTTTAGATAAACATTTTCTTTGGCATGCCAACGTTTTGATCTTTATTGAGATCGTCTTCAGGGCCTGGGATTTATAAACATTGTTTAAATTTTACAAATACACACATCCTACACCCATTCACATCCTACATTTATTTGTAAAATTTAAACAATGTTTATAAATCCCAGGCCCTGAAGTTGAACTCAATAAAGATTGAAACAATTAATTAAGGTTTTTAGTTGAGATAAAAAAAGTCAATGGCACGAGCGGGATTCGAACCCACGATCTTCGGCTAGATACGCTGCTGCTCTACCACTTGAGCTATCGTGACCTCGATCCATTCGGGCACTAACTTCCCATCTCAACCCCACCTTTTAAATTTTTGGGTTGAGATGGGTAGTTGGTGTCCGAGTGGATCGAGATCACGATAGCTCAAGTGGTAGAGCAGCGGCGTATCTAGCCGAAGATCGTGGGTTCGAATCCCGCTCGTGCCATTGACTTTTTTATCTCAACCAAAAAACCTTAATTAATTGTAATATATTAATTGGTCAAGAGGACCACGAAATTAGTGAATTTAAAGATTGAAACATTGGCACAACAAAGAAAATGTTTTTCTAAAACCTACGTCACGCCAGACTGCATCTCACGATCTCTAAATAATGGATTAATTATGGTTGTGTGTCCGAATGGCTTAGTTCCTATCCAATTTTTTTTTTTTTAAGCCAAATGGAGCTTTTCCTAGCTTCTCCTTGTATTGATATTCCCAGTGGAGGTAGATTTAGCAGAATTGTAAGGGTTGTTCTTATTGCTCCTATGATACATAGGTTTTCTAATCTTTGTATGCTGCCTATGTTTAAAAAGATTGTTTCTGTTCTGCTTTGGTTCACCATATTAGTGAACTGTTGGAAAATTGGGGTCTTATTATTACTGCCAGGCATAGCCAATGGGCCATTTTTGGATTTTAATCCCCAATATCAAAAAACTTTACTAGGATAGATAAATAATGGCAATTTTGGTTTTTAAATTTATTCTTGATGTAAAATTTAATAACAAATTTCAAACGTATTGCAGATGATTTAAAGTTAAAAGAGGAAAAAGGACTCAGGCTAGAGACGGAACTTCGACACTTACTCGAATCCTTAGCCATTTTGTTAAGCTCTCCAGTGAGATTTGTCGAAAGTACTGAGATTAGTATTAAAGACAAAATTAGGGATTTAATAAATGAAGCTAAAGATAAATCCATGGTAAATGAAAATTGTACATGCAGAATATGTGTTATTTTTCTTAGCGTTCTTTAGTTGATATTTTTGTTAACAGCAAGTTGAGAGCCTTCACGAGAAAGTTATAACTTTAAAAGATCAGGTTTCAAGATTATCTGATCAAAGGAATGAAGACATCCGCCGTATAAAAGATTTACAAGATGATAAGATACACGTTGAAGGACGACTCCAAAAGACAGAAATCGAGCTAAATACATGTCTTATGGTCAAAGAGGGTTTAAGGAAAGACAAAGCAATTGTATGTTATCATTTGGAATTAGATATATTTTTTATATCAGGAAGATTATTAAACTTTTCATGCTCATTTCGTAAATAAATGTAATTTTTTTATGTTTTAGTTTGTCACATTCCTCGAACGGCTTGCAAGGGCGTTAAACATGGAGGAGATTTCGAGAGAAATTGGGGTTGATTTGCACACCGAATCTTTGCTTCTTAGAGCAGAACAACTTTCAAGATTTGAGAGTGACAAATTAACAGATAAGGTACAGTGAACTATTATTTAAAAAAATTAACTACTTAAAAATAAAATAAAACTCGAAAGGTATGTATAATTTAAGATGTTTGTAAACACCGAATTAAAACCTACCTAATTATCTTTTAAATGTTCTTTTTCAGTAATTAAAGTATTATTTTGTTGTTCATTTTGTTGTACAGCGTGTAAAAATAAAAAATGGAAAATTCATTTTGCTGAACAGCATGTAAAAATAAAAAAAATGGAAAATGCAGCATTACAAATACATAAAATATAATGCCGTAGTATGAAGCAAAACATATTTTAATAATTCAATAAGTCTATGTTTTTTGCATGTTGTGCAGCTCTTGTTATATGGTTCTTATCCACGGTTTAGACGGGAGAGGTATTTTTACGACTTACCGCTGAGAGATGTAAGCCTTAAAAATTTAGGCCATAGGGCAAACTCGCATGTCAAATTGGACAAATTGTAGCAAAGCATTACAAATTGCTTGATTAGTTTCATTTATAAAATTGACCTTTTATAATCAGTTTGGTTGGTATTTTCAATCTTACAATTAGCCAAAGACACAAATGTTTATATTAATTTAAATTTAGTTATAGAATTGTAAATTATATTGATATAGAATCATCAGCAAATAAGCACTGGATGTACATTTTCTTCTAAAGTTATATTAGATTAAAATTTCAATTTAAATTTTAATAAAACTAAACTTAGTGCATGAGTAATGAAAATTAGATCTATAAACTTATTACATAATTATGTATTTGTAATATTAATCTAGTAGGATATGTTGGGTTTAACCCTCCACAATCTTTTCTTTTATAGTACATATACATAGATATTTATTAGTCACATTCTTTAGATACACATGAATGTTAGTACAATTGTAATTTTTTTTTTCACAACAGCAGGTTATTAAAGTAAGGTAAAGGTCAGCAACTTATTGAGGTCATACCAACCCTCGGGGTGTCGGTGCTTTTGAAAAAAAAAAGCCCGTTTGTAAGTATATCAGATTCGAATGCAGAGCCACTGGATTCGAACCCGGGACCTTTACCTTACATTGATGAGCACCGTGTCAACGCCTAAACCATGGCCACCGACGCCCCCTCTGTAAAATGTATCCCTCAATTTATTATGTTATTTATCATTAAAATTAGCTTCTTGTTGCAATAATGTATTTTTTATTTGTTTCAAGAGAATGGGAAAAGGTACAGAAGAGTTTTAGCTATTACATTTTATTTATTTTAATTTTATTTTGTGTATTATTTTAGCTATGTGTGAAAACAGAAAATCCTTGAAATTTAATATCTTCTTTGTAAATAATGTATATTTTTTACTTTTTTCATTCTATTTTCTTCAGTCTATTTTTAGAGATAACTTTTTTATACCATTTTTATACCATTAAAAATCAATCTGCCTTCTAAAAATGGCCTACAAATTTTAACCTAATTTACATAAATAATACATTATTTATTTTCGCTGCTGTGATTTTGTGCTGTCGACAAATTTACTCCATTGCATAAGAACAATATTGGTAATTTTTCAAACATTTGCTTCAACATGCAACATTTTCAGTCTGCTGTAGTTTACCAGCTCCAGCGTAGGGTAAGGAATTTACGAGACCAGCTCCAGAGAAGAGACCTCCATCTGGACTTACTAAGACGGAAGCTGACGATTCAGGAAGACAGCCACAGAACCAAAGGGCTATTACAGGCCGAAAGAGACGAGGCAAACTTGCGGTAATTACGTTCTATCTTTAGACTCGATATAGCACTTATGCCGTGGTCTCAACAGTGTTAAGAAACTGGGAAAACAAATAGACAGACTTCAGGTGCAGTTGAACGAAGCGAGATCATTATCAAGAGACTTAAAACTGCAGCTTACAGAGTCTAGTGATTACAAGGTAATTGAGTTTATCATTTTGAATGAAAACATGAACATCAAAATGAAGATTTTCAATAATTGCCTAGTAGTTTTTTCTCTCTGCTAAGACTGTAAACTAATTGTTTTCATTGTTCTTTTCTCATTAAGTTAACAGCATTAGAACGAGGTAGAAAAATTGAAGAGCTTCAGAAAAAATTGGCCGAGTCCGAGTTGTTGCGAACTCGTTGCAGTAGGAAAGTGAATCTTTTAAAAGACCAGGTAAATTAAAACAGATTTATTTATTTAAAAAATTTTCATGTTAAGGGATTGTTATGCAATACATAAAACAAATGGAAATATCGTGTAAACTTATTTTTTTTTAAACTGGAATCTGTGCAAAATCACTTGATTTCAAGCGTATTTTGTGTGAAATTAACAGGTGAGAGTGACAGGTGATAATGCGGAAGAAATCAGGGCATTAGGTGAAGGGGTAGCTTCAGCGCTACGCTCTGAAGTAGATTCACTTCGACATTCCTTGGCAGACATGACAACAGAAAAAAATTCTGTAAAAATTAATATCACTATTTGCATCTTGTTTAGATTGCGTGGAGCATGTTTTAGAGCATGGATTTTCAACATATATTATTAATTTACCATTTAAAAAATAATAAAAAATATATATATTATTTCTCAACTTCATATAAATATTTTCTCAACATACATACAAATGATAAAGATTGAAAATTAGATCGTTATTTTTTTCAATATAAAAAATAAACTTTTAAATTTCAGTTATCCAGCCTAAGAAATACCCTTTGCAACATTGTTGGGTTGTCGTGTTCCTGTGCAGACTACGAGTTGATATCCCGTGTCACAAAGATGGCAGACGCTCACAGAGAATTCACCAAGGTTTCCAGGCGTTATGATCCGCCAACTACTAGATATATTGTTGACGATCCTTTAATTGATGATCTAGATTCAGATATGAACAGCATATACAACAAACGTCCAACAAGGACTATTCTTCCTTAAACTAACTGTATGTTACTTACCATCAATTCAGCTAAAATTAGTATATAGATAAAATTAAAAAAAAAAGTGTATATTTTATTGTCAGAGATTAGGGCTTCCCACAGTCAATTTTCTCTCAAATAAACTTTAGGAACTTCATATAAAACAACTTCCTATGTTAAATTTAAGTAAATTCAATTTAATTACAACTCTTTGTTAAATTATACTAATTTAAAAAACAAAAATTAGCCTATAAATGATAGAAATTGAACAATTTTGAGCACATAAGTATTCAAATTAAATATTTTTTGGAGATATTTTCCTAGAATTTATGATTAAAACGAACTAGTGATCTGTGTATTTAAGAAGGCATAAAAAATCGCATCCATACTGATTGTTTTTGTTGTTCAGCGTAAATGCACTTTTTTTAGCGACTGTTATATTTAGCATTTAGCCATGTTATATATATGTTATATGAATAAACAAATGCCAAACATTCATTCACTAGTTGTAGATAAATGCTACCCACCATTTTTTTAATAGCTCAATGAATATTTTCTTTTTAGCAATAAGCATTGTCAATGTGTTCGATGTGATTATAAATTTATAAATGTTACGTTTTGCTTGTTATTTATGTTGTTTGTGTTTTGTTGAATTTTTGTTGTTTCGTTACGTTGTGTTATTAAAACTTTCTAGTAAGCTAGTACAGGGTTGTTTTCTGGCTTTTCTAATCTTTTGGTTGCTATAAATTTAAAAATAAACAGTTATTATTCTGTTAAATGTCTTGTTAATTGTCTTTTTTTAAAACTGCAAATGAGAGAATTTGAGCAGTCAATGTGAGAAAAATGTTTTTTTAATTAAACAGCCTAATTTATCATTTAGCAATAATAAATATGATGTTCAAAAATTTTGCCTTTTCTGTCTGATAGGACCAATAACACTATTTTCAATAAGAAAAATTAATGTGTTCATTTATATGTAACTATGTGTTCATGTTTCAAGTGATTTTCAGCCCAGAAATTGTCCTGGGCCAATATTCCTCTTTAAATTATTAAATGAAAACTGCATGTAAAATTTCTTTCATAATTTATTCTTAGGTAAATGTTAACCAGTCTGTATGTTCGGAGAATATAATAAATTAAAACTAGTTTGGAAATAGTTTAAAATAAATTTATTGTAGTTATTTAGTAAAAGTAATTAGAATTTAAAAACAATTATACACTATTCTCTGTAAATGTAATCATAACAAAAATAAAATAAAATAATGAAATATTGTTATTTTATTTAAAAAAATATTTTCCTTGATTATCTAAATGACCTAATGATAGGGGATAAGGGATAGGGATAAATGAGGTAGACACAAGTCTCTGCATCTCGCCTTGGTAGATTTATTTTGGTCGTCTATTTTTATTTTTATTTGTTTTTATAACTCATTGGGGAGCTTCAGGTTGTTAGTCAACATCCAGCACTTTATGATCTTGCCTTGCTTGCTCTCCTAGTTGCAAGAATCTACACCTACATAGACCCTCAAAAAAACAGAAATATTCTCTTCAGTCTCCTCTTCTTCCTGTCAGAATCTGCACAAATCTCAATATTGTAGTGTACTCTTTGGCTTATTTAAATATCGTAATAACAAATGTTTAAAAAATCCTGATCTTTATATCAAACCTAATTTAAGAAATGTATTCGTGTGTTTTTTTAATTTAATTATCATGCATATTGACAAAAATTGGGTTAATTAAAAAGAGTAAAATATACATTTAAAAATGAATTATATCTTTCCGGATTATTGGAATGAGTTTAATTTGATCCACAGCGGATGCCAGATATAATTAATAGGAGGATAATTAGCAATACGTAAATAAACCGAGCTTTAAAGTTTGTTGTTCTCAAACTCCGGGTAAGATAAAATTACAAATTTATTTTATGACCAGCCAAACAGATCGATTTTTAATATAAACTATATTTGTGTAGTGATTAGTGACCGTTAGTGAATGATTATTCAGAAATCGTGAGATGAAAAAGATGAAAAAACATTTTCTTTATCGTGCCAACGTTTCGATCTTTGTGTGGTGATTAGTGACCGTTAATCGATATTTATTTAGAAATCGTGAGATGCGGTCTGGTGTGATGTAGGTTTCAGAAAAACATTTTCTTTATCGAGCCACGTTTCGCTCTTTATGGAGATCATCTTCATTGCCTGGGATTTACAAACATTGTTTAAATTTAACAAATACATGTAGGACGTTGAATAAAGTGAATTTATAAAATGCAAAAAATATATTTTTTATATTCAATCAAAGTATTTCTACTCACTCAAAGTGTTTGTTTTCTGCGTAAGTGTGCCATTCTTGCATGTCGTGTTGAGAGTGCCAGTGAGATATTGCTGTTTTATGTTTATATTTTATGTTTATCTCTGTTTTATATTTAGTGAGTAGAACTACTTTGATTGAATATAAAAAATATATTTTTGGCATTGTATAAATTCACTTTATTCCACATAATACATGTATTTGTTAAATTTAAACAATGTTTGTAAATCCCAGGTCCTGAAGATGATCTCAATAAAGATCGAAACGTTGGCACGATAAAGAAAATGTTTTTCTGAAACCTACATCACACCAGACCGCATCTCACGATTTCTGAATAATCATAAACTAAATAAAAGGAAGGTATTATACTTTTACAAATGTTAAGTTAGAGGAAATAAATTTTTTCTCTTTTCAGCCAAGTTGAAATTTTCATCTGGATTACGGGCTTATCTTTGTTAAAACTTTTGAAAGATAATTTATTTTCACGATGACGTGTTTCTCGGTAATCCTCCAATTATAAAGGTATGCCAGAGAACTCGCGGTTTTTAAATAAGACCTTAATGATTTTATATTAAAAAAAAAAAATTATTGGTTTCATTGGCTGTCATAATTTCATTTACATTTTCTAAAGTTTATCATTTTTTGAACGCGTTGGTGGAAAATAGAATATTAACTTTTAAAATCAATTCCAACTTTTATGCAATAATCCAAATTTAATTAGAATAATTTTATATAAGTTTCCACGTCAAGAGAATATAATAATAAGACCTGGGAAGTCTCGTATATCAGTTATACCTGGCAATATTATTCAAATTAACAAAGAAAATTTTAAGCTTATGTTTAGTTTACAAATCATATTTGTTTTACTTCATTATATTTACTTTGTTATCATTTATCAACTTTTTATACATTTATGTAGATAATCTAAGATGGGCACGTTAACCAAACTTTATTATGTATTAATTATTAATTATTTTTATTATTAGATAAGTATATCCTAAAATTTGAAAACGATATGTTTGAAAAATAAGACTAATTATAAATGTGTGGTGATTAGTTGTTAGTCGATGATTATTCAGAAATCGTGAGATGTGGTCTGGTGTGACGTAGGTTTTACAAAGCAATTTTCTTTATCGTGCCAACGTTTCATCTTTATTGAGATCATCTTCAGGGCCTGGGATTTACAAACATTGTTTAAATTTAACAAGTACATGTAGGATGTGGAATAATGTGAATTTATAAAATGCAAAAAAAAAAAAACCAAATCTCTCATAACAAAAATCAAACACGTCTTAATCAGAAATACGTCAAAACAATGTAATTATCAAGGGCTACCTGTTTGCCTTCCACCACATAAGCAAGCAGGAGTTGTGGAACAAACAAAAAGTAGATTCGGTTTACACAAGTTGAAGGGGGCCCTGGGTATTAATTTGAGGGGTTAGGTAGGTGTAGAGGCTGGGCTAAAACAGAGTTTGGCGTTTTCCTGGGATGATTTATTTGGGTAGGATTGTTCACGAACTGGCCGAAGGTTGGCCGAATATCAAGACGGATTGTCTCTCCCTGACCAACGGCCAAGTAAAAAACCGTAGAGACTCTTATTCCATTAGGTGTAGATTTATTATCCGACAGATCACTGAGGGACGAAATAAAACCAGCGCCAATTTTCCGTTTATTGTTTTACAATGAAATTACGACCTATTGTTAGTTTTTATATTTTTATTTTCTTATCAGGCACAAAATCAATATACTCACAAAAAATCACAATAGAATGGGTGTATGCCAGTTTTCGGGCCCACTATTCATTGGAAAGCAAAAACTATTCATTATATTTTCTACATTTTCACCTTCAGTTGAACTCTCCAACTGTTTTTTTCTTCGTTTTGTGTATTTATCTTCGTTTTTTTCCTGTTTTTTTTTAAATTTTTTTTATTTGTTTAACAATTTATTGGAATCTGAGGAACGGTCAAGAATGAGATAGTTAGAAAAACACAGTTTTCTTTTTTTGCTGCGTTTCGACCTTTATTCGGGACATCTTCGAGCTGGGTAAATTACAAAACATGTCAATTGGAAAAAATACAATTTAAGGTGTAAATATAAATTTTGAACTAAGTATTTCATACTCACATAAAGTGTGGTGCTATGTCGGGTTCGAATGCAGGGCCGCTGGATTCGAACACGGGACCTTTACCTTTATCTAAACCGTTGCGGCCGCCGACGCCCCCCCTTTTTTTTTCTTTCTTTTCTTTCGTGTGAAATTGTTATGAAACATGAATTTGTATTCTGCTGATTTTGTATGAGTGTGACAAAGTAGGGGACGCGGTAAATCTGGGATATTTTCTTTGATCATAGGCGGTTTATTTAACTCAAAGGAAGTCGAGAATGGGGATTTTCTGTATTGGATTTGTGATTCGTGGTTATTCAATATTGGGAAGGAAGTTAATCATTAAGGAATGATAACGAAGGAAAGGGAAATATAAAAATAAAGTTTAATAGTTTAAACTTGCTTTATGATGTTGGCGTAGCTGGCTGAGTTCTGTTCTGTGTGTCTCTGTTTATGTAAACCATTTCTAGAAAATTGCACTTGTGTTGTTTTTTCAGTGTTTAGCATTTGTATTTTGTCGAAATCAAAGTTGTGTTTTTTTCAAAATGGCGTGTGGCCATTGCTGTGGGATTGGCTTTTGGTGTCTTACAATCATAAATGTGGTTTTTCCCGTTTTTCCAAATATTGCGATGAAATTCGAATGTACAATATGTAGCTGGTTCATAGAACTAATTTTATAAATTACATCGGATTTGTAGGCTGCTGGTGTTGGGTTTTTGGCTTTGGAAAAAAGTGTGTGTAATGTTTTGTGGGTTTTAAGTCTCTGCTGTTTTTACACTCCTGGAAACTCTTTTCTTTCTGCTATTCTTTCATTTATCTTTCTTTCTATTTATCTCTGCTACTTATCCAAATAACTCATGGTGTTTTTCATCTACTAAATCTTTGTTTAATTTTTGATTGATTCCTTTCTTCATGCACACCTTGTGAAATTCAACCTTCACCTGAAGTTGAACCTTCATGCAAATAGATTATCGATCAAAAGATTAACAGAGATAAGCTCGCAATCCAGATGGAAATTTCAACTGGGCTGAAAAAAGAAAAAAAATCTTCTAACTTAACATTTGTACAAGTATAAATACTTTCCTCTTATATTGTTTATATTTTTAAATAGAAGTGTTGGGTTGGTCATAAAATAAGTTCGTAATTTTATCTTAGCCGGAGTTTGGGAATAACAAACTTTAAGGCTCGGTTTATTTACGTGTTGCTAATTATCTTCCTATTAATTAATATTTGTAAAAAGTTTCACTCCACTGTGGATCAAATTAAACTCATTCCGATAATCTGAAAAGATATAATTTATTTTTAAAATGTATATTTTACCCTTTATGTATAATTAACCCAATTTTTCTCATTATGTGTGATAATTAGATGAAAAAAACATTTGAATATATTTCTTAAATTTGGTTTGATATAAAGATCAAGATTTTTTTTCAATGTTTGTTATTACAATATTTAAATGTGCTAAAGAGTATATAATAGTGAGAAAATGCAGGTACTGCCTGGAAGAAGAGGATACTACAAAATACATTCTATGTTTTTGTGAGGGTCTATGTATCATGCAACTAGAATAGGAAAAGCCGTAAGCAAAATTCTTAAGCAACCGCTGGCAAGCCTATGTAGGTTGACTAACAACCTGGAGATGTCCAGTGAGTTATAAAAAAAATAGACCAACCAAATAAATCTACCAAGGGCGAGATGCGGAGCCATGTGGCTGCCTCATTTATCCCTATACCTTATCCCCTATTAGTATATACTTTTATAGCGGTAAATATTGCGTAAATATTAACAGCAGCTAATTAAACTTACTTCAATGTCGAATTTTTAATTTAAATGATTAAAACGGAATTTTGGATTTGTAATAATTAAATTCACTAACTTCGTTGTCCGCTTGACCAATTAATATATTACAATTAATTAAGGTTTTTAGTTGAAATAAAAAAGTCAATGGCACGAGCGGGATTCGAACCCTCGATCTTCGGCTTGATACGCCACGGCTCCACTTGAGCTATCGTGACCTCGATCCACTCGGACACTAACCTCCCATCTCAACCCCACCTTTTGAATTTTCCATTCTTTTTGCCATTTTTAATTGGTCAAGCGGACGACGAAAACTAGTGAAGTTATTTTAAAACGGATTTGCATTATTCAATCATGCAACATTGCTAAGCAAACTAAGTAAATTAGCAGACTTAGCCCAATAATCATAACACCAAATCAATTATCCTTTAGAGCAAACTAGTTCTCAGTACTCTTCATTTCCACATGAATGAATGTTTGGAATTGTTTATTGATTAAAGTTTTACTTTATTGATAGGTTACTTTATTGATTAAAGTAGTAATGTAGTATAAAGTAAAATTTCGTTGTTCGTTAGAAGTGTTGATGCATCTTTCACAAAAGCGAAAAAGGATTTTATATATTGACATGTGTGTGTGTGTGTGTGTGTGTGTGTGTGTGTGTGTGTGTGTGTGTGTGTGTGTGTGTGTGTGTGTGNTGATGTAGGTTTCAGAAAAACATTTTCTTTATCGTGCCAACGTTTCGATCTTTATTGAGATCATCTTCAGGGCCTGGGATTTACAAACATTGTTTATATTTATCAAAAACATGTAGGATGTGGAAAAAAGTGAATTTATACAATGCAAAAAAATATTTTTGTATATTCAATCAAAGTATGTATATTGACAAGGAAGCTTAGTAAAACAAGCGAAACTAGGCAGACCTGAATGATTGAAAACTACCGAACTACTTCATCATCAGAAAGCTAATTTTAATGGCCATTTTCAGTAATATGTATCACATTTCACAAATATTTTTTGTCAATTTTTTTTTTTTGTGTACTAAAAAATGCAAAATTAGTAGGAAGTACATTTTTAAAAATAATAACGAAAGCGTCAAAGAGTTAAATGGTACCATGGCACCGCGCGGAAATTGCGAAATATATTTCAACCCTTTTTAGTCAGATGGTTGATGAGCGTAGAAATGAATCCACTTTACCTCCATTGTCGGCTCAAGCCGTCCGGAATTAGAGGTCTGTTATGAACGGAGATTTTTAGTGGGTCGGCGTCGGCTGTGGGGGTTGCTGTAACCCTCAGTCGGAGTTCGTACCCCGACGAGATCACACGACGAACCCGGACCTGACAGGCTAAACAAATTCGATAACCGGTACGTGTATATTATTGCAATTGTATATTTACACTTTATCCTGTTGTTGAACATTTATTATAACTATTCTGATAATGTATTTATAAAAAAAGTGATATCTTAAATTTTTATGCGTCGAGTTTTTAATTATAACTAGCATTTCAAAACTAAAATTCAGTTATTTCAGCCTTAACGCTGTTTATTTTATTAAATTAGACTCATTTACTTGAAAATTAAAATATACGAACAGTTTATTTTATTAAGAAGAAAACTAAATATTTGAAAAGAAGAACGATTTCTTGTTTTCCTTTAGATTTTTTTTTTCGAATAACCTGCGACTTAGAGAACTATGTCCTTGTAAAAACATCCTTGATAATAAACACTTAAAAATGAAAAAAAAGAAAGATTTGAATTATTATATTGAAGTAATTGCTTTATTTTTGCTAAAAATAATCTCATAATTGAAACCGAAATTTTATGAATTTAACAAGAAATTTTGAAAACGTTAATTTTCTACAGACAGCGCCAATAAAACGTGTATAAAATTCTCGTTACTCGATGTGATATTGAATAAAAGTTGGAATTAATTTTAAAAGTTAATTTTCCTATTAATATTCTATTTTCCAACAGCGCGTTCAAAAAATGATACAACTTTGCAAAATGTAAATGAAATTGTGACGGCCAATGAAACCGATAAATTGGGGCTCCTAATAACTTTTTAATTGTTTTCCTACATCATTAACTATCTAAAAGAATTAGTTTACATTTTTATAAGTATTGTATGATATTTACACACTTAATAAAATATGATATAATAAAAGTATTTTTGATTTTTTTATTGGCATTAACAATGCCATTTACATAAATTTGTAAGTACTAAAAAATTGCATTTTGTCTTATTTTTATTTACATTTTATATAATAAACCAAAAAATATCTGTATTTGAGTTTAAAGTTAGTGATTATTCAGAAATGCGGTCTGGTGTGATGTAGGTTTCAGAAAAACATTTTGACATCGTGCCAACGTTTCGATCTTTATTGAGACCATCTTCAGGCCCCGGGATTTACAAACATTGTTTAAATTTAATAAATACATGTAGGATGTGGAAAAAAGTGAATTTATACAATGCAAAAAAATATTTTTTTGCATTGTATAAATTCACTTTTTTCCACATCTTACATGTTTTTGTTAAATTTAAACAATGTTTGCAATTCCCAGGCCCTGAAGATGATCTCAATAAAGATCGAAACGTTGGCACGATAAAGAAAATTGCTTTGTAAAACCGTCACACCAGACCGCAACTCACGATTTCTGAATAATCATCGACTAACGGTCACTAATCACCACACATTTAAATTTAGTCTTATTTTTCAAACATATCGTTTTCAAATTTTAGGATATTATTATCTAATAATAAAAATAATTAATACATAATAAAGTTTGGTTAACGTGCCCATCTTAGATTATCTACATAAATATATAAAAAGTTGATAAATGATAACAAAGTAAATATAATGAAGTTAAACAAATATGATGAATTGTAAACTAAACACAAGCCCAAAATTTTCTAAGTATAACTGACATACGAGACTTCCCAGGCCTCATTCTTATATTCTCTTGACGTGGAAACTTATATAAAATTATTCTAATTGAATTTGGGTTATTGCATAAAAGTTGGAATTGATTTTAAAAGTTAATATTCTATTTTTCAAAGCGCCTTCAAAAAATGATACAACTTTGCAAAATGTATAAATGAAATTAGGACGGCCAATGAAACCAATAAATTGGGTCTCCAAATAGGGTTTTAATTGTTTTCCTACAGCATTAGTTATCTAAAAGAATTATTTAACCTTTTATAAGAATTTTTGATATGTCTGTTTCTTAGTGAGCTATTCATTCATAATTTGTTGAAGTCGTAAGGAGCGGACAAGATTGAGATAGTTTTGAAAAAACTTTTCATTTTTTGCCCGCGTTTCGACCTTTATTCGGGACATCTTCGGTGCTGGGTAAACTACGAAATATGTTAATTGGAAAAAATACAATTTAAGATGTAAATATAAATTTTGAACTAAGTATTTCATACTCACATAAAGTGTGGTGCTATTCTTATGGTGTCGTATTGGTGTTATGTGAAAGTGTTTCAGGTTTAGTATGCACTAAATAATGGCTTGCATTTTGAGTTGTTATCCTATTTTTCCATTTATATTATTTTCTATACTTATTACTTTCTATTTATTCTGTTTTACCAGAATTAAAAATCCATAATAGGAAATATAATGAAGTTAAACAGATATGATGATTTGTAAAACAAAACACATGCGTAACATTTTGTTAGTTGCCACCTTATTTAAAAGAGAAAAAACAAAACAAAATTTAATTGTACCTCTTGAAACGGGTAGGGAAGTTTGCAGGGTCAATTAAGATCCGCCCTTCCCCCCAACATTTTGGTCCTTTGGGCCCGATGACGTTTTAGTGACGTAGTCCGTAAGGTCGGTGATATGACGACAAGGTGTTGAATAGAAGAAATCGATGGTGAAGGTCCAAAGAAAATCGATATTAGGTTCGATAATCGATTCGGTAAACGGTGCGTCTTGTGCTGATCCAGGAAAGCGAGAGACTAATTTATTCCCGTGCAAAGGCCGAAGTTACCGGCGTTATCGCTTGCCAAAATAAAAACAATAGGGCCCTCAGCGATTAAACAGGGCCTCCCGAGGCGAACCTTGGTCAGCCGAAAAAAAATTAAGCTTCTTGGGCGTCAAAAAATTAGTTTAAGAGTAATATTGCCAACTACAACTGACATACGAGACTTCCCAGGTCTTATTATATTCTCTTGACGTGGAAACTTATATAAAATTCCTCTAATTTAATTTGGGTTATTGCATAAAAGTTGGAATTGATTTTAAAAGTTAATATTCTATTTTCCAACAGCGCGTTCATAAAATTATAAAACTTTTTTTTGTTTGTAATGTATAAACGAAATTATGATGCCAATAGAATTCTAATAAACTGAGGGTCCTTTTTAACTCTTTTTAACGTAAGTACAGCTGATCCAATACTACATTAAGTGCTTATGGAAGAATGTACGTTTATATTTGTGAAACATGTTATCGTATTGTATATATTGGAACAATGTATTTATTAGCCTGAATCGTGGGGCTTCTTCCGCAATTACCCCGAGGCATACCGAGTGACAGTATTCAAGTTATTTATTATCGTGGATCGACATCTTGTTTGCAATGTTACAGTAATTATTGGAAATAATGGATTTAATAGCGTGAGTCGAGGGACTTCTTTTCCAATTATGTGTTTATCTATCCTATGTTATTTATTAACACGAATCGACAAGCTTTTTTGCCAATCAGTCCAAATAATAACGAATACTCCGGGGCATTGCGAATGTAATTTATTAGCGTGAATGTGGAGACTGTTTACCCAGTTACTCCGAGCAGAATATCTAGCACTCTGAGTCAGTATGCATGATATTTATTAATATATAGTGTAGTATATAGTATATAATATAGTCAGCGACACGGGCGGGATTCGAACCCATGATCTTCGGCTAGATACGCCGCTGCTCTACCAATTGAGCTATCGTTTCCTCGATCCACTCGGACGCTAACTTTTATCTCAACTAAAAACCTTAATTAATTGAAAAATATTAATTGGTCAAGCGGACCACGAAAACTAGTGAATTTAAAATTATAGACTTTATTAAAATAATTTTTTACTATATATTCAATATTAGGCCTAACTTTTCCGATATTGCATTTGTTTAAAAGTACTTTTTATATAGTATAAAAGTGATATTACCGACGTTGACCCTTGTCAAAGCAATTTCGTTCTTTTATTACAATCGGATATGATAAAAGGGTCATCTTGTTTATAGGATAAAACAACGTTTTACATACAGGATATAAAAATATTATGTTTTTGATGGTACGCTGCAAGGGGTAATAGAATTTTCAGGTTTAAACTCACATTTGTTGATTTGTTCTTTATTGAATCTCTAATCTGTATTCGTTTCTCGAATTTTCACGATTAATATGATAGTACATGGGACTTAAATTGGTAAGTTCATTACATCCTGGTTATTCTCAATTGTAAACTTATTTAAAAAAAATCTGATAGCTAAATTTACACTTCATTGCTTGGCAAAGGATACTTTTCAATCATAGTATCAACTCAATCAATCAAATAATCAAACTGAAATAATCTGTAACAATGGGAAGGATCATCGGTTAGTAATGATGCCGCTTTCGCAATTGGTTCAATTAACGCCAGTGAGGTCCGTGTTTGGAAAAATGTGGTCAAATCGTGGATTGATTGGATTAATTTTTTTCCCTTATGTTTAATTTGTCACGCTGCAGAGCAGTCCAATCAAGAACCGGCAATCAAGGCCTAAGAGAAAAAAAAGATCAATGGTTTGTAAGAAGTACTTTTGCGAAAAGTTAAAAATTGGTTGATTTTTTCTGCGTAATGAATGGCTATTTTTCGCTAAAATTTAATATTAATGGCCAATAAATATGTCGTAGAAACAAAATATAACTAATCATACAAAAATAATAATATAAAATAATAATACCGTTTAACTGATTCTGGTAACTATAAATATCTGACTGCCTGTTTGTCTTTCAATAAATAACAAGCATTAAAAATACAGCGTAATTTTTTTAACATATTAGTTAATAAATTATTTGAGTTGGCAGGGTAGTGTGTAAATAGTCAGTAATAGTTGTAACAAGCAGAATATATTTATTTACCACAGTTTATTATTTGGGTTTGTTTTGTTTGACATCTGAAATTAATTAACGCTAAATAAACATTTACGTTCTTAAAGTAAATAATGAGTTAATTCAGCCCACAAAAACTATGAGGGACTTTGTTGTTAGAGACAATGTTTAATGTAACATAACATTGCAACGTCAACCATGTTTCGTAAATACTTAACTTTGAATTTTTGTAACTCCTACTCTTTTTGGGCGCAGTTCCCACTGAACTGACGTTGGAGAGTTTATGTCAAA